TGTGGTGTTATTGGTTTGGCTTGTAATTCAAAAAGAAATATGGAAATTGAATGATTACCAAGTCTGGTGTTTACCTAATTTTCTCAGAAACTATAATAGACAGAAAGTATCCAAAAGATTCATACGAAAGGTGAATGATTGGAGAATCTACCGAGTGTTCATTTATTGTTGTGGTGTTATTGGTTTGGCTTGTATTTCAAAAAGAAATATGGAAATTGTATTATCACCAAGTCTGGTGATTAAACACCTATTTTCTATTTGTGACTTCACATTTTATTAAGTTTCTCAAAAGAAATATCTAAATTGTATGATTACCAAGTCTGGTGATTAAACACCTATTTTTCTATTTGTGACTTCACATTTTATTAATTTTATCAGAAACTACAATAGACAGAAAGTATCTAAAAGATTTATACGAAAGGTGAATGATTGGGGAATCTACCGAGTATTTATTTATTGTTGTGGTGTTATTGGTTTGGCCTGTAATTAAAAAAGAAATATGGAAATTGTATGATTACCAAGTCTGGTGTTTACCTAATTTTCTCCGAAACTATAATAGACAGAACGTATCTAAAAGATTCTTATGAAAAGTGAATAATTAGGGAATATAACGAATATTGAATTATTGCTGTGGTATTATTGGTTTGGCTTGTATTTCAAAAAGAAATATGGAAATTGTATTATCACCAAGTCTGGTGATTAAACACCTATTTTCTATTTGTGACTTCACATTTTATTAAGTTTCTCAAAAACTATAACAGACAGAACGTATCCAAAAGATTCATACGAAAGTTGAATGATTGGGGAATCTACCGAGTATTTATTTATTGTTGTGGTGTTATTGGTTTGGCCTGTAATTAAAAAAGAAATATGGAGATTGTATGATTACCAAGTCTGGTGTTTACCTAATTTTCTCCGAAACTATAATAGACAGAACGTATCTAAAAGATTCTTATGAAAGGTGAATAATTAGGGAATATAACGAACATTGAATTATTGCTGTGGTATTATTGGTTTGGCTTGTATTTCAAAAAGAAATATGGAAATTGTATTATCACCAAGTCTGGTGATTAAACACCTATTTTCTATTTGTGACTTCACATTTTATACATTTTCACAAAAACTATAACAGACAGAAAGTATCCAAAAGATTCATATGAAAGGTGAATGATTGGGGAATATAACGTATATTCATTTATTACTGTGGTGTTATTGTTTTGGATTGTAATTTAAAAAGAAATATGGAAATTGTTTGATTACCAAGTCTGGTGTTTACCTAATTTTCTCAGAAACTATAATAGACAGAAAGTATCAAAAAGATTCATACGAAAGTTGAATGATTGGGGAATCCACTGAGCATTCATTTATTGTTGTTATGTTATTGGTTTGGCTTGTAAGTCAAAAAGAAATATAGAAATTGTATGTTTACCAAGTCTTCTATTTGTATCTTCACATTTTATTAATTTTATCAAAAACGATAACAGACAGAAAGTATCCAAAAGATTCATACGAAAGTTGAATGATTGGAGAATCTACCGAGTGTTCATTTATTGCTGTGGTTTTATTGGTTTGGCTTGTAATTCAAAAAGAAATATGGAAAATATATGATTACCAAGTCTGGTGTTTACCTAATTTTCTCAAAAACTATCATAGACAGAAAGTATCCAAAAGATTCATACGAAAGGTGAATAATTGGGGAATCTACCTAGTATTCATTTATTGCTGTGGTGTTATTGGTTTGGCTTGTAATTAAAAAATAATTACGGAAATTGTATGATCACCAAGTCTGGTAATTACTCTTTGATGTTTAGTGCCCATTAAATTGTCCCGTCTATGGTTGATTGTCATCGACAGACCTCATAATTGTCATCATTAACATCATCGGGAAATTGACGAAGGGAAAGCACTGAAACCATCACCGTCAGGCATCAACCCTCAACATTACCTTAACTTTAAGTGCTCATCGTTATCCGATTAATCCTTCAATTAACGTACACAGCTTATCTTATAATCCCCAATTAATTAATGTAATCTTACAGTTTAAAGACCACACAATATTTGCAAGCAATTAAACCAATAACGTACTGAAATTACACTGTTTTTAATAACAGATCAACAAAAATCTATAAAAACAAATCTTGATTTCAGTTAATTTTGTTACACTTTTATTTATTTAACTGCAACGTTTGTATCGTAGCGTAAATCGTATTTGAATTTAGCGCAAAAACTCAATCAGGATCAAAAGGTTTACGCAAAATCGTAATGTCTTTGTTTGAAAAAAAAAAAAACAAACACGAATCACCTAATTTAAACAAATGAATATAAATTGTGTTAAGATAAAAGTATTTTTATGTCGACGTGCAATTGTTTCTATTTTTAAATCCAAGGAAGCGAATTTAATTACGCATAAAAAAAAACAAATGAGTGTACGTTCCCGTTATATACGGGTGTTTAAGGGATGGACGGAGGTCGCAGCAGCCCTTGGGATTTGCGTGCTCCACCATCACAATTAGGTGGCGCGTTTCAATGTTAATTTCCTGTTGACATTCGAATTGTTTATTTTTTTTTTAATAAATAATTCCAAGTTCATCTCGATCTTAATTAATTAATTCACAAGTATTAATTAAACCGGAGCAGATAGACACGATTCTGCATTAAATTATGTTTTTTTATAAATAGATCTGTAATGTAATTAGTTTTTAGTCTTATGTTTGTGTGTTATTGGTTTTTGGATGTCCGGGAAGTCGGAAAAGTTTAATTAGTTAAGGAGACCGCAGATGTGTCCTCACTAAGGATAAACTTTGAGGCAAGAAACGTTTGCGAACGGGAAGTTTGCTGCTGCTGCTGGTAAGTTGTTGAAACTACAGCTGAAAGTCTTAAAATGTACTCCAATTTATTTATTTTTTTGTATTTAAAGCGTAAAAGAAAGCAACAACAATCTGCATAAATATATAAGTTTTACAATACTTTACAAGTACTTTACACAAAGCTTCAAATAAGAAAATCACAATTTTTCAACAAATTTAAGTGTAATTTTATAAAAATGGTTTGTGTAATAATTATTGAATTAATTGATTGAAACTATTGAAGAAAAAAATCCTTAAATTAATACAAAATATTGAAAGTAATTGAATGAAGACTAAATCAATTATAAAAATTAATAAAAGAAAAACAAAGTCAACTAAGTTTCTGCTTTTGTTTATTACGCCATTTTGTTTCATCCCCATAGTTTTGATGGGATGAAACAATTGAAAATCGTGAAAAACAAAAACTACTCAGAGCATTTTTTAATTTTGTTTTTGATAATAAATTACGACAAGAAAACACTCATATTTAAGTGAACACCTGCAGGAAACACCTGCGTTTAAGTGAACACCTGCAGGAAACACCTGCGTTTAAGTGAACACCTGCGTTTAAGCGAACACCTGCGTTTAAGCAAACACCTGCGTTTAAGCAAACACCTGCGTTTAAATGAACACCTGCGTTTAAGTGAACACCTGCACGAAACACCTACTAAATAATTAAGATTATCTTCATTTTTAAGATTCACACTTTTATACATTATCAATAATGAAGTGGACTATAAGAAGTTATCTATAAGAAAGCAAACTTAAAAAATGAAATGTTCGTATTTTCTTATTCTTGAAGTTTTCGATAGTTTCGTTTCGGATTTAGAAGGATAAATACGTTATTCTCAGAGTCGAGAATCCCTTGGGGTGGACAAACAGCAAAAGAAGTGTGATCCGATCGCAACGAATTTATTGGAAACGTAGACAAGCAAAGATAAAACAGAAAATCAATTCGAAAGTTTAAACTTTTTTTTGTGTTTAAATTTGTGTTTGTATAAAATAATAATGTAAAGTAATAGAAATATTTTTCTATAGGAATATAAGAAAAAATAAATTCTAAAATGAGTTTTATCAGTTTTGGGTAAGAAATAGTAGAAGAATAAGTAATAATAATAAATTATTATAGAGTGCGTTAATTTTTATAAAATAATTAAATTTGGATAGTTTTGTGTAATAAATAAAAGAACGTATTAAAAACAATTGAAATAACTGACATTTTGTATTTTCAGGTTAATTAGTTAAGGTTAGATTAGGTTATGATGTTTAATTGGTTATTATTAATTAAATAAATGTTTTTCGTAGCTAGCTTTGATTTTTAAATTTTTATTTGAATAGAATTTTCAGAAGAATTTAAGTGATCGAATATAAATTCGATTTATATATCAGATTTTGCACAATAAAATCGAATGACCTTGACTTAGAAGTAACCTATAATTAGAATAGAGGCAAATTGATGGCAAAGAATAAGTTTTGATTCAAATTTGTGCAAATCAAAAAGGCTGGTTAATCTTCAATTGTTTAGACATATAATTTTATTGACTTGTACAAATCAAGAAATCTTCTCTACTTGTTATTCGTGCAAATCTGCTTTACATTCAATTGTTTGGACAACAATAATTAACAATAAAT